GAGAGAGAGAGAGAGAGAGATGTGAGAGTGAGCAGGGGAGGGGCAGAGAGAGAAGGAGAGAGAGAATCCCAAACAAGCTCCACACTCAGCACAGAGCCAATGCAGGGCTGGATCTCACAACTGTGAGATCATGACCTGATCCGTAAACAAAAGTCAGATGTTTAACTGACTGAACCACTCAGGTGCCCCTCTAAGAAAAAGGTTTATACTCAAACAAAAATTATCTTTTAAATTGGCATTTTAATTTCCTATATATGAAATATATTTTTCAATTTTTCATTATAATTTAAATGCATATAAAAGTATAAACAGTATAACAAAAATCCAGTTACTTATCATCTCTTCAATAATTATCAACTCATGACCAATACTGTTTCATCTCTACTATACCCAATCCCACCTCTGCTGATTATTTTAAAGCAAATCCAGTAATTGTATTTCATCAGTAAATATTTCAGTATATGTCTTTTAGGAATCCTTTACATCCAAGTTACCATTTTTTAATGTCACCACATATTCAGTGATCATACTTCCTTACCTCATGATTTCTCAAAAAATTGTTATCTGCTCTGCAGGGAACTCAGGGATTAAGAGGGTCTAAATCATCTTGACTATGGATTTCTATTCTCTGGATGTCCGTGAGAAAAATATTCTTAGCTTAAAAACATTTTCTTAAAGATTATAACATTCTGTTAGTGAATTATCAAACTGTACTGAGTTGATTTAGTTTCTTGTAAATGTACAGCTTCATCAGCTATCCTAGGGGCACATTTTGTTCTCTAGTCTGGCATTTTATGGGTCACCTGATTCTTTTCCAGTCATGATCACCATCCTACATAACCTTGTCTGTTTCCTGGAGGAGCAAGGAATGGTCAAATGAGCAAGAGAAAAAACTATTCTTAAAATGTGTTATGAACTCAGTTTAGTTTAATGTGTCAAGTGCTAGAGTATTACATGCAATTTTAGCACAGTCCATTTTTTGGAAGACTCTTGCTGAGGCTTAGCCTTCTTTAGTGATCTCCCAATCAATATGACCCTCACTTCATGTTCAAAAAACACTAAAGAAGAAAAGAAAAGGCAGCTGTCTGTTAGGTTATACAGGATTTATTTGGTATCTTCAAAAACCAATCTGTGAAAATTTTCCACTCACTGATTTTAGCTGAGCCACCAAGAAAACAAGAAAATCCTTCTGCAAAATTCTCAATAAAATGATATTATCTAAAGACCCGAAGCGTGAAACCTGGATTACAACAGCTGACCAAAAAACCAGAATGTAAGGTCCACAAAACTTAAATAAAAACATTAAAAGTATAATATATATTTATTTTAAAACTGAAAAGGTATTTCTGTAATTTGACAATGCAAAAATAATATATATCTGGAATGGTAAAGATAATTCTAAATTATCTAAACTACAATATTAAGTCTGAAAGTACTGTGCTTTTAATCTTATTTAAATGCTTATACAATCTGTACATTTCTTATGTCTTACTTACCAGTACTGACTCATTTAGTTTTTCCTTTCAGTGCAGAATTAAATTTTTTAAAATAAAACACAGATTTAAAGTTCTACAGGTCTGTGACTGACAGAAAAACTTCCTAAATAGATGTAAATTTTGACGTAGTAATGACTTGAGTACAAATAATTAAATGTGACTCATGTAGTAATATCTTTGCTTTATTGCAAAAGCCAAAATGTAGGGTTTTTTCATCCATTTTTAGACATTTAGATTCACTGTGGTGGGCAGCAAACAAGGCCACAAATTATTCTCCCTTTGTCTACCACCATTTACAATAGGACTTAGTTGCTTCTACCCTCAAGAAGCAGAGTTTATTTATCCACTTAGTGAATTTGGTCAGCTCCTGACTTGCTTTGGCTAACAAAACAGCAGCAAACACGATAAAGAAGTGAGAAGAGTTTACATCAGGGCTTGCCCTTTCATTCTTATTAGAACGCCATGATCACTATGTCCACAAGCACTCGAACAACCTTATGAAGAGCAATCCCAGTCATCCCAGCTGAGTCCAATATGAACCACTCGGGCCAGCCCATTTACCTGTTGACCAGAGATGCATAGGTCAAGCTTACCACCTAAACAAGATCAGCTGATCCTGACACAGATGGCAAACATCCACCCAGTTGAACCTAGCCCAGTGATTAGTGAGCTAAGTAGACAGCAGGTTGTTTTAAACCACTAAGTTTGGGGTGGTATTTAAAAGAGCAATATATAACTTGATATACTTATGTATAATTTTTTACTGTTTACAGACCATTTACTACATCATTAAACAACTTATTTATACAGGAGCATCACTGTGAGGAAAATGTAATCAGATATCAGCATTTGCACAACGATAATTATTCTAGGTGATGGCCTTTTCTGCAGATTCTTATTCTAACTGTGTAATCGAATCCAAGGGAACATTTCAGAGGACAGGTAGTAAGGAACATGGAATCTTAGCCGTTAATCTATGTAAAAATTTAAAGATCACATCCTGAAAGTACACTGCATATTTTTTTATTTAACTTTCTTAGACAACATAATCTGAGGATTCCTTAAGGCCGAAATATTATCGTCTAAGATTATCGTCTAAGAAACTACACTAAAACTTTGGTTTGTGACCATAATTTGTTCCAAAAATGCTTGTAATCCAAAGCACTTGTATATTTAAGTGAATTTCAAGAACCATCGGCTCAGTTGTGATCATGTAACATTTGGAGTCATACACCATTCATACTGCAAGACACTGCTTATTTATCAAGTTAAAATTTATTAGAAATGTTTGCTCATCTTGTGGAATACTCATACAATAAGTTACTCACAATACAAGGTTTTACCGTATTTGGGTTTTTTTTTAAACCTACCTAGCAACTTACTATGGTAAAATATATAAGAAACTTTAGCTGTCCAGGGGCAGGGTGGCTCAGTGGCTCAGTCGGTTAAGAATCTGACTCCTGATTTCAGCTCAGGACATGATCTCATGGTTTGTGAGTTCAAACCTGGCATCAGGCTGGTCATGATCTCATGGTGTGTGAGTTCAAGCCTGGCATCAGGCTGGTCATGATCTCATGGTGTGTGAGTTCAAGCCTGGCATCAGGCTGGTCATGATCTCATGGTGTGTGAGTTCAAGCCTGGCATCAGGCTGGTCATGATCTCATGGTGTGTGAGTTCAAGCCTGGCATCAGGCTGTTTAGCTGTCCAAAAATCCTATGATTCCAGAGATAGTTAGTTTCAAAAATTTGACTGGCTGGCTCATATCACAACAAAACAGTATTGGAAGGCTAGTAATATATATGAAGTCAATCTTTTCAAGCAAAAGTTGAGAAACATGTACTGTACAACAATTTGGCTGGATTTTGTCCCTGGTTTCTAGAAGGGAGCTGGACCCCCTCAGAACTCCCCTGAGTTTATGCTAATGAGATAATTTAGGAAGGTCTCCCTACACAATTTAAGGACAGGGGCTGGCCATGTGGGAAATATGAACCATGTAATTAGAGGGTTGGTGCTTTGAGCCCTGGGATATCAGCCTGACCCTCCAACCTGGGGCTGAAGTATGGGAAAAGGGCAGGCAGAGAAGGGCTGGAAATTGAGTTCAATCAGCTGGCAAATGACTCAATCATTCCTATGTAATGAACCCCAGTAAAACTCTGGATAAATAAAAACTCTGGATACTCAGAGCTTAACTGGGCTTCCTTGTTAGTAATATATACTGATGTGCTTAAAGGGTGGAATCATAAAAACAGTGCTTTTCTGAGTTCTGGTAGTCATTCTAGTAAATATCAAACCTGAGCTGGTAGTGGGAATTTGTAGCCAGCTGGTCAGAAGTGTGAGTGGCCTGGGACCCTAGAGACTGCAACTGGTAACTGATGTGAAGGGAGTGCTGTGCAGGACTGTGTCCCTAACCTATAAAATTTAACCTAACTCCAGGTAGAGTCGGACTTGCACTGCACATGGGAAAAGCAATACCAAAGACATTAAAAAAAAAAAAAAAAAGGGCAGAGAGAAGACAAGGTTAATAGACATGAGAAGTGACGGTCAAAATTAGGAATAATCACAATAGCAGTCACCCATGGAGTCAAAAATGAAAAAAAAGTATCAAAGGTAAAAGAGAAGATTACAGATGATAGAAAAATTGATAGGAACAACAGACAGGGGGTTAGGAAGTTAGGATGGCATGAAACATGCACAATGAATAGTCTGTGGAGTCATTCATTCATTTAACAACTATCTATTAATTACCTGCTACATGTAAGGCTCTTTGTCAGGTACTAAGGATACTGTGGTGAATAAGAAAAACATGCCTCTCCATAAAGTTTAGATTCTAGACAAGATAAATACTAAGTAGTTACACAACTACCTCTAATTGTTATTATGCTACATGCTACCAAGAATAAGCATTTAGTTGAATAATGGCTTAATAAACAGGTAGATACATCATTTACAAGCTAAATCTACAATCCTAAGACCTACGTACCTCACCTCTATATCCAATTAAACATAATATTATCTAGGTTGAAAAGTAATGAACATTTTAAAAGGATTTCCTCATTAACAAAAGATTCAGATTAAATATTTACCTTCCTCTAAAAATAGCATATTCCTGGTAGGTACTTGATATTTAAACGTTTCCCATATTTGTTTCTCAAATTTAGGTTCACCGTAACAAAACTTGTTTAAATTTGTTTAAAAACAAATTTTATAGTTATACACTTCTTCTAAACTAACAAAAAATATTCCTGAGCAATAAAAAAGAAAAAAAAAAATCTCAGACAAAAATAACCATCAACTCACCAAATATGACACCCTGACTTCTGGGCAAAAAATGACTTCAGATGCATATTTCATTAAGATGCAGACATCAATTTCGAGTAAATATTACTAATAACCAGATTTGAATTTTTTAGAAAAGATATATTAATTATGAAGTTGTTCACAAGTATACAGTTTCCTAAAAGCTCTTTCTAACCAGAAGGCAATAGGACAACTAGAGCTTCTTACCTGTATTCATCTAACTGTACCAGAAATCGTACAATATCATGATGAGCTTTCAGTACAAGCAGTTCAGTGTAGGGATTCTGGGTTTGTTCTTCACCTATTGTCTGTAAAGGAGATTTCTTGTATGGAATAAAAAGAAAAAAGAGAAAGAAAAATTAAATTATTTATGATAAATGACCATAATGAATGAAGCAAAATACCATACTACATGGTGTACATCTAACAATATAAGACTATATCATGTTCTAATACTATATATGATTTCCTCTAGTATCAACTGTCAATTTAACATAAAATATCTCTTACCATGAATTCACATCATAGTTTTTCTTCTTTGTTAGAAATGACATAAATATAATCCTTAAACTCAGATCATCAATCTTCAGATTGTTATCTAAAAACAATCTAAAATGGTGGAAAAATCTCACTCTTGCATTCATTTTAGTACTTTCAATTCCCAATAAATTTACAAAAGGGGTGAATTTTATGTTAAGTAAATTGTATCTCATTAAACCTGACCTAAAAAAATTAATAGGCAAATCTAATTCGTATTTTAGAAGGAGTGTTTCTCAATTAAAACTTGACAACAAAACTGCAGATCAAAAGGGTAAAATATAGACTACAACAGCGCCTAGTCCATGATAGGCACTCAATATATGATTGTTGAATGAATAAAAGAAAGAATGAAATCCTTCAGAGTCCATAAATTCAATAAATTCAATTCTGGACGGCAAGATTGATAAAGATAACTGCTAACAGACAATTAGGTCGCAGCCCACAGGCTGCCTAAAGCAAATAAAGCATATAATTCACTCAACAATTCTGTAAGGTAGGTCTTATTAACCCCATTTCTGTAGTCAAACCAGGTACTATTTCATGATAAAACCTTTGTTCTTAACCTCTGAACTCCAATTTCTCAAACTTGCCCCTACTGAGATTTTGGGCCAAATAATTCTTTGTGGTTGAGGGCTATTCTGTGCACTGGAGAATATTCAGCAGTATCTGTAGTTTCTACATACTAGATGCTAATAGAAATCTAACCTTTCCCACCCTGAAAATCAAAATGTCTCCAGACATAGCTAAGTGTCCCCTAAGGGCAAACCATCCCAAATACTGCAAAACTAGAAGTCTGGATACAAAGCTCTCACATAAATTAAGGAAATCATCAGTTCTGACAAAGCACAAATTCACAGCAGTTATACAAGTGAAGTACTTTAACATGAAAAATGTGTAATTTAGCATGCCTAAGTGTTTTCCCCAAAAAATCACCCCCCCAAAGCTGTGGGTGCTTTTTATTTATACCATCTAACTTCTGGCACTGGTTCTGATGAGAAAAACAAAAGTGAGAAATCTGAAAACTGTACACCACTTCTGCTAAATGGAAGTTTATCAGGCATGGCAGGATTAATCTAATTCAATGATTAATCAAATAATTATTAATTCTGAATTATCATGTCACATATATGATAGTTTTCTACAACTCTTCCATAATTTTTAGGATTTTAGCCTACCCGAAGTGAATCTAATTTGAAATAAATGCTTTTTTTTTAACAGACAGTAAGCCTCAACTCCAAAAGTATGAGGAAGTTAAAAGTGAGAAGTAAGGTGGCTGACTTACAACAACGCAAATTTTTCATTTTTAACAACAAAACTACTTTCTATGAGAAAGGGAATTCAATACAAATTCTAATTCTCGGATGGCATAAGAAATAAATTCCAGACCTCAATCCTTTCAGCAAGCATCAGTCTGTTCAGGGAATAGAATATCTGATTATTCTATCAGGGTGGGAAACGACACCAATTCTAATAAACCTTAAATAGAAAGTTGCAGTCACCACTTGTTTCTGGTAAGCCACATACTTCGGTAATTGAAACGAAGCTAGTTTAAGCACGGAGAAGACTAGCTGAAGGTCCTTGTGCTAGCTGTTGAATCACACCAGCTTCAGTTTCCTCCCTTTGAAACAGGCATTTTTAATTCTCAGGGTCTTAGTGGGATCAGGAGTTCAGACTAGCCACTGTAAGAGCGTCCCCGCACGCCAACCCCGCCCTTGCCGGCCTCGGAACCCGCAGGCCCCGCCTCTGCCCGGAGTCAGGACACCGAGCCGGACTCTCAAAAGCCACTGCTCTGGCAAGCGTGGCCGGAGCGGAGGCAAGCAGGGTCGCCTGGGGGGTTACCTCGGCCAGTCCCTGAGGTTCTCGGCCTCCCCCGATCAGCCATCGCAACATCCAGGCAGCGGCAGCTTCTCTCTGGGCCCAGGCCCCAGTCAGCCCGAACTCTGCGCCGGGCTCAGCCTCCTCCTACCTCCTGGGAGGCAGCGCAGTGGAGACACTAATATTTGCAGCCCAGATTTGCCCTCGGAACGAAGAAGTACAAAGCAAAGCCCAAAGAAGTGGGAATATTTGTGTCCCCAAAGCGCTGCCGTACTCAGCCACAGAGGCTTGGTTTGGAGCAGCCACCAGGAAAAGGGCAGCCAAAAGCGAGAATGGCGGAGAGGATTCCGAGGCACGCGCAGCACCCAGTGAGCACGCGCAGAGACCTCGCCGGGTTAGCGCTCTGCGTTTAGGTAGCTTCAGCGTCCCCTGGTGGCCATCTGTAACACAGCACTTGAAGCCCGGAGAGCAACCAGTACCAACAGCCTCCTTGGTTGGCTTTTGACCTTCACTTTGCTGAAAACGAACCTCTAGAAAACTAATCTCTCCACCCCCCTGGTTTCCTAAAGAACTCGCTTGAGAAGCTGTACTTCAATAGATTCTGCAACTGGACATATCCAGTGGCACATGTGTACCCCAGAATAAATCTGACCAACATTTATTGTGTGCTGTAGTAGAAGTGCTAAGTAAGGCTTTACATAAATTCTCACCATAACACTATAGTCCCTATCTCATTAAAAACAAACGAACAAACAAACCTGAAACTCTGAAAGATCGGTAGTTTATCTAAGGCTAACAGCTTGGAAGTGACTACATTGAAAATGAAATACAATCTCCATGGTCCAAAATTACTGCTCTTGACTGGATGCTATAATGTGTAACCCAGAATCTCCCTAAATAACAGATAGCACTTCATATCATCTTTTGTGACGACGAGATTTTCTTAGGCAGTCAAAAGGTTGTGGTCCTCCACTCTGGCTGCCTATCAAAATTATGCAGATACCTTTTGAAAAACACATATATTCCTGGCTTCCACCTCAGACTTATTAAAGCAATCTGTATGGTTAGAACATAGGAATTAGAGTTTGGGAAAAGTTCTTCAGGTGATGACTAGCAAGGTTTGAGGATCATTGGTCTAGGGACTACTAACACTTATATCTGTAAAAGTTCATACATATATTTGCATATGTAATTATTAGATTCAAATGAGGGTCCTAGCAGTAAATTCTTATAGAGAACCTACCACAATTGCTCCAACCACTCCATTAGTTCAACAAACATGTACTGGGTACAGATGCACCAAGATACCAAAAGCAATAAGACCGCTGCTCTCTAGGATCAAGACAGAATATACCTGACACCACTAATAGAGGGCCATACCCTCTACTTAAAGGTATGTCGGTTATAGGCAGCTGCTCAATTTAACTACCAGTCCCTGGAGAACCGGGATCTCCTGTGATTCATCATTGTATTTACTGTGAACATGCTTGACAAAAGAACACTCACAAGGGTCAGGAAAAGGTTGCCTTCAGTGTGTTCTCCAAAAATTGTAGTCTGCATGCAAATAAAGACATTGGCTAGCCCCTAGAAAAGGGGGACTCAGCTTAACTGAACCAAAACCCTGAACACCAGGATTTTGGTGCTGGAAGGTCAATCTTCAAAAGAGGCAACATGGTTGCCAAGGTAGACTAAATTTTATCCTTCTGATTTCCATATTCTTGGTGGGGGGCAGTTTCTCACTGCCTCATTAGTCTGATCTAAGGAACACTTTTCTGGTCTCTAAAGCACTGGTACACAGGTGAAGATTTTCTGCCTTGGTTCCTTTTAGGTCCGCTGAGAAAGATATTTATAAAAGATTCTATGAGAGTGACCTCAGAGAAGCTGGAGGAGTGGGAAGCATCAAGAATCTCTCTCTCTACCCAGACCACAAATACTACTGGCAGACTTAATATAAACTATTTTGGAGCTCTAAATTCTATTTAAAAGCTTGCAGCTTTCAGAGAAAATCTTGGTTAGCACAGACCCTGGCCATCATTGTTTCAATCCCTATTGACTACTGCTGTTTCCAGGGCATTTAAAGGAATAACACGTGTTTAGGTTTCTTCCCTGCCCTTGCCCTCATGTGGGAACCAGATATGTAAAGATTAGGACATTCAAAAGCAACCACACATATAGAGGAATTTAGAAAGCCACATGTGCAAAGGGAAAGACACTGGCCTAAAAAATGCCCTGAGGAGAACTTGAGCTTGAATTTCAACTCAAGCTAATCCCCAACACAGACAGCTTTCAAGATTCAAAAAACAAAAACAAAAAAACACCAAAAAACATCAAATTCTGGGGAAGGAGGAAAATCTGACTTCGAGAGTTGGCACGTTAAACGATTCAAATGTCCAGTGTTTTCAAAAAACAAAATATCAAAGGCATGCAAAGAATCAAAAAGTATGGCCCATTCAAAGGAGCAAAATTAATCGACAGAAACTGACCCTGAAGAAGCCCAGACATTAAGATTATAGACAAAGACTTTTTAAAAACTGTCTTTTTTTAAATGTTTATTTACTTTGAGAGAGATAGAAGGAGAGAAGAGAGTGGAAAAGCAGCAGAGAGAAAGAGGGAAAGAGAGAATCCCAAGCAGGCTCCATGCTATTAGCACAGAACCTGATATAGGGCTCAATCTCACAAACTGTGAGATCATGACCTGAGCTGAAAACAAGAGTTGGACGCTTAAGTGACTGAGCCACCCAGGAGCTCCTAAAATTGTCTTTTTAAAGACACACAAAAAAGTACAGGAAGACAGGTACAAAGGATAACAATGCATAAACAAGATGTGAATATCAATAAAGAGAAATACTTTATAAAAAAGAACCAAAAGGGGCACCTCATAGGGTTTGCTCCATCTTCTCCAATATCTCATGTCACAGACTCCAAGATATCCCATAACAATGGTGGCAGCAACAGTGGCTAGCAAAAGGATACCACAGGAGCTGAAATCCTAAAGTAAAAGAACTTCTTCATTTGATGAAATTAAGGCAGCAAGACAGTGGGTCCAAAGCTTTTTATTGTTCTTTTCCCCTCTGTCTACTCTTCCACTAGAGGTGGAACAATGATGGGAAGTAGGTGCTTTCTGACCAGAGATCCAAAGAACCTGAAAGTACTAGAGAGATATCAGGAAGGGAAAACAACTCCATAAAATATTGTATGAACTCCTGGGCTCACTTCTCTCACCTGAATATGCACTGATCTTATTCTAATTAGCATAATAGAGATACTGAGAACTAAGCTAACAATTTCATTTAATCCAAGACTAATGACTAGGTGGTATGCACATAGGACAAATTCAAGTAACACTGCAAAAGCTTTAAAACTGAACCAACGTTGGAATCAAAACTGAACCAACACTGGAATCACAGTCACAAGTTGGAACTTACGCCCGAATCTAGCCACGTAAACCACTAAAAAAAATTCCAACATCTCTTTAGGAGAGTAAATAAATAAATAAAACCATTTTTTAGTGCCATATTCCAAAGGTCCATAAATACAATCGAAAATTACTTCGCATATGAATACCAAAATCTCAACTCACATGGGAAAATACAATCAACAAATGCCAATGACAAGATGACACAGATCTTGAAATTATCTGACAAAGACTTTAAAAAGCTACCATAAAACTTCAAATGCCAATTGTGAACATTCTTGAAACAAATGTTAAAATGCAAAATATCAACAAAAAATATAATATATAAAATAGGAGAACCAAATGGAAATTAAGAATTGAAACTACAATGATCAAAATTAAAAACTCACTGTATAGACTCAATAGCAGAATGCAGATGTTACAGTAAACAATCAGTGAACTTGAACAGAAAAAACCAATGAAACTAAAATCTGGGTTGTTTTTTTTTAAAGATCAAAAAAATTGATAAACCTCAAGCAAGACTGACAAAAAGAGAAAGAAGAAACTAATTAGCAATAAAGGGAATGAAAAAGAGGAGATCACTACAGACCCTAATGACAAAAGGGTCTTTTGACCTACTGATTTAAAAAGATAGTAAGAGCATTATAAACAGCTCTACACACAAATTTCACAACTTCAAAGAAATGAGCCAATTTCTTAAATAACACAAACTACTAAAACTCATTCAAGCTCAAAAAGAGAATTTAAGTAGTTCTATAACCATTAACAAAATTGAATTCATAGTTTAAAATGTTCTGAAAAAGAAACTTCAAGGCCCAGACAAGAAACAGTAGTGAAAATCTCATGAGTATTTCTTGTACAAAGACAAGCTGCTTCCAAAACTTGTAAGGAAGAAAGGGGACTGGAATACACTATGAGACATTTTGTTACGAATGGAGGATACTCAAAATTTTAAAATTTAAACCTTGTGGTACTTGATCTTAAGGAACTTAACAGTAGATTCTTAGATTAGCCTTGAGGAGATTCTTGTATTTTAAGAAGAAACAGCTGAAGAGTAACAAATGATCACACACAAATTAGTACTGTGTAAATTTAAGGACTAAGTTCTAAGAAAATCTGGTTAAAAAATAATCATCAGAGTTCTGGAGATTGATGACACACCAATGTGAATGTACTTAACACTACTGAACTGTGCATTTTAAAATGGTTAAGATGATAAATTCTATATTTATTTTAGCACAAATGAAAATAAAAAGTGACATCATCAACACGGAGGAATAAGAGTTTTCTACCATCTTCCCCCCCAACGAGCACTGAATTAGACAATCACCCATGGAGGTGAGTACATTTGTGAAACTCTGGGAGTCTAGCAGAAAAGTTTCTGCATTACCATTGGAGAAAAAAAAAAATCCAAGATTAGACATATTTAAGAGGGTAAAAGGAAAAGTTTTGTTACCCACATCACCCTGCCCCTACAGTGGCACATCTCAGTGACAAGAGAAATCTCATTGGTAATTGATTTCACCAATGGAGAAAACTGAAAGCATATGAGTGAGTTCTAATCTTCCCTTAACTTGGCAAGACGCTGTCAAAGGGAACCAATTCTTTCTTGTCCCATTTAGAATACTGAGGTCTCCTGGACAACTGGGGGCTAGGGAGTGGCTGGCTGGGAGAACAGCAGTCAGTGCTCTCAAAGAGCATCAAAGGAATGTGGAGCCTATGAACAATCTACACATTACTGGAATCCCAGAGAAGAAAGTGAGAAAAGAGCAAAAAGCTTGTTTTAAGAAATAATGGCTGAGAAATTCCCAGATCTGGGGAGAGATCTGGATATCCATATTCATGAAGCTAAAAAGGTTTCCAAATAATTTCAACCCAAAAATATCTTCCCAAAGGCACAAAGTAATCAAACTCTAAAATCAAAGACAA